GGCGGCGGCCAAAGGCACGGAGCGCCCGGTGCCTGTGTGCGATCGCGGCGGCGCGGCGGCCAAGGGCTGCCGACATCAAAGCGGCCGCCGGGTGATTGGCAGCTCCGGGGAGGGGCCGGGGGCGGGCACACGCGCACACACACACACACACATGCACACACACACATATGCACACACCGCACACACGCTCCGTGTCTGCCTTAAAGGGACCGACAGCCCGCCCCGCCGCGCTATAGCGGGGTCACCCCCCCCCCCCCCCCAAACTCCCGGTGTTGGGGTGCGGGGTGGCCCGATGGTGGGTAGGTCTGGGGGCTCCGTGCGCCCCCCCTCCGTGATCTGCACACACCTGTGTGCACAAACATGCGTGTGCACAGCTGTACGCACACGTGTCTCTGCTCACAGGGCTGTGCACACGCGTGTAGGCATGACTGCACACACCTCTGTGCACACGTGTGTATGCAGGCATGCTGCATGTATGTCTGTGTACACACATCTGTGCACACGGGTGTACGTGTGTGTGACTGCACATACGTCTGTGTACACACATCTGTGCACACTTGTGTACGTGTGTGTGACTGCACATACCTCTGTGCACACATGTGTATGCAGGCATGCCTGCACATACATCTGTGTGTACGTGTGTGTGACTGCACATACATCTGTGTACACACACCTGTGCACACATGTACACAGGTGTGACTGCACATACATCTGTGTACACACACCTGTGCACATGTGTGTACATGACACCTGTGTACACACATCTGTGCAGACATGTACACAGGGATGACTGCACATACACCTGTGTACACACATCAGCATGTGTATATGTGCACACAGACACACATCAGGGTGTGTACTTGTGCACACAGAGACACATCAACACATACAAGTGTCCACACACAGAGACACATCAGGACATACATGTGCACACACAGAGACACAGCAGGACGTGTATATGTACACACACAGAGACACATCAGCACATACATGTGTGTGCACCGTACACACATTTGTGCACATGTGTACACAGGCATGACTGCACATACAATTGTGTACACACACCTGTGCTCACGTGTGTACATGTATGTGACTGCACACACATCTGTGTACACACACGTACACAGGCATGACTGCACATACATCTGTGTACACACACCTGTGCACACATGTACATAGGTGTGACTGCACATACAACTGTGTACACACACCTGTGCACATGTGTGTACATGACACCTGTGTACACACATCTGTGCAGACATGTACACAGGGATGACTGCACATACACCTGTGTACACACATCAGCATGTGTATATGTGCACACAGACACACATCAGGGTGTGTACTTGTGCACACAGAGACACATCAACACATACAAGTGTCCACACACAGAGACACATCAGGACATACATGTGCACACACAGAGACACAGCAGGACGTGTATATGTACACACACAGAGACACATCAGCACATACATGTGTGTGCACACAGAGAGACACATCAGGACATATATGTGTGCACATGGACACACATCACAAAATATATGTGGTGCACACACAGAGGCACATCAGGACATACATGTGCACACACAGAGACGCACCAGTGTGTACGTGTGCACACACAGAGACACAGCAGGACGTGTATTTGTGCACTCACAGGCACACACCAGCATGTATATCTGTGCACACAGAGACATGTCGATACGTGTAAGTGTCCACACACAGGCACACACCAGCACATACATGTGTGTGCACACAGAGATACATCAGCACATCCATGTGTGCACACACAGAGACGCATCAGCACATACATGTGCACACACAGAGACGCGCCAGTGTGTATGTGTGCACACACAGAGACACACCAGGATGTATATGTGTGCAGACAGGCACACATCAGCACATATGTGTGCACACACAGAGACACATCAGGATGTGTACATGTGCACACAGAGATTCATATCAGCACATATGTGTGCAGACAGGCACACATCAGTACATATGTGTGCACACACAGAGAGACACATCAGGACGTGTACATGTGCACACAGAGATTCATACCAGGACATCTATGTGTGCAGACAGGCACACATCAGCACATATGTGTGCACACACAGAGAGACACATCAGGACATATATGTGCACACAGACACATCAGCACATATATGCGTGCACACACAGAGAGACACATCAGGACATATATGTGCACACACACAGACACATCAGCACACATATGTGTGCACACACATCAGGACGTGTACATGTGCACACAGAGATTCATATCAGCACATATGTGTGCACACACAGAGAGACACATCAGGACATATATGTGCACACACACAGACACATCAGCACATATGTGTGCACACACATCAGGACGTGTACATGTGCACACAGAGATTCATACCAGGACATCTATGTGTGCAGACAGGCACACACACATCAGCACACACGTGTGCACACAGAGCCACACCAGCACACATAGGTGTGCACCCAGAGACACACGAGCACGTCTGTGTGCACACACCCGCGTGCACCCTCGTGCACAGACGTGGCGGGGACCGGTGGCGGGGGGCGCAGGGGCTCAGGCGGGGGTCCCGGTGGTGGGTGCCGGTGGCGGGGGCTCAGGCGGGTCCCGGTGGCGGGTGCCGGTGGCGGGTGCCGGTGGCGGCCCCCGGCGCGGTGCGGTCCCCGCAGCTCCCTCGGTGGCTCCCGCAGCCCCGGGCCCT